CTAAGGTGCTGGACACTCCCACATGGCCGATCACGGTTCAAGTCCTGGACCTGGTGGCTTGCTTTCTCTCTCCCTGCCTCTGTTTGTGTCTCTTTCTGGTCAAATTTTAAAAAATAAATGAGTAAATAAATAAAGTTAAATAAATAATTCTAAAAAAGAAAGAAATAGGAAGTGTGAACAATGATAGAATCTATCTATAAAGCTAGTCCAGACTCATAGAACTTCCCAAGTAAATTCTTCTAAACATCTAAGGAGTCACAATGAACCCCTCTTATCAGAAAGAAGCACTTCCCAAGTTGTGTCAGGACTTTGGCTTGAACGTGACACCAAAACCCATGAAGGATGTGAAGAGAAAAGAAAATGGCAGGCAGATCTCTCCTGAACATACTCACAAAACAGGAACAAACAGAAACTCGGAATTCCTCCCCTCTCGATGGTAATACTGCTTTAGTGCTTCCCAAGGGACTTGCAAAGATCCTTTTCTCCGTGAAAACAATTTCTCAGAGAAAGTTTCACATAGAGGGACACTGAGGTCTAATGAGGTCACACTCAGGATGCAGTTGGGCGAGGCGAACTCATTCCACTCAGTGGACACTGACGGGCTCCTGCTGAGGGTGCAGCGACCCTGGGGATGGACACTGTACCCCTTTCTTCCATGTCTTCCCCACTTTCCTGTTCCAGCCAGACCTGGACACTTCCTCCTGGGCCCAGGTCTGGCCACTAGCAGCCTAAAGCTGCCCCAGGGTGTTCCTGAGTTCCAGGGCAGAGGTGCCCTCTCTGCCAGTCTCAGGCTCCTGCACTGAGGCTGCCCAGAGGAGCACACGGCCCCGCCTCCTCACCTGCCTGTAACAGCTTCTGAACCCTGCAGGCTACAAAGCACTTCTGTCCGCGTTTCTCATTTGTCACTCAAGAAACCGTGCAAGACAAATGTTAGTATAGGCTGAGCTTCTCGGATATAAAAATCCAGTACCCCCAAATCCCCCCAATCCAAAACTTTCTGAAAGCCATGAGTGGAAAATTTCACACCTGACCTCACGTGACAGTTCACAGTCAAAACACCGCAAATACAAAACCACTGTATAAAACGACCTTCAGGCTGTGTGTAGAAGATGTACAGAACAGTAACGAGGTCTTATGTTTAGACCCGGGTCCCATCCCCAGTACATCTCATTACTGTATGCAAATAATCAAAATTGCTCTTTTTTTTGGTGGGGGGGGAGAGATATTTTTGCGATAGGGTGCGTGCGTTCGCCAGACAGTCAGACAGAAAGCGAGAAATCACCCCCCAGGGGGGATGGCCACAGTGCAATCCTTTCTCCTCCGTTCTCCTGTTGGGATCCTGGGCACACGCACGCACATGCGCCCAGCGTGAGTTTTAAGCCACCAGGTCCGGGACACGAACCGCAGTCAACTACATGGGAGTCCAGTGACATAGCCATTACGCTAACTGCTGGTCCCTCGAAATTGTTCTAAAAATCTGAAAGCCAAAACAATCCTGGACTCAAAGATTTCGAATAAAGGATATTGGGCCTCCACCTCCATGGGGATGAGGAGAGTGAGGTTCTGAAGGATGGAGAGCTGCCCGTCTGAGTTATCTATGCAGAGAACAGAGGTCCAGGGTGAGAAAGACGACCTTCCTCACCACACCGGGAGGCCCCCCGCTGCCCAACGTGATCGAAGATGTTCTGGGTCTCAGCACAGAGAGGCAAGAGCAACACAGGCAGGGGCCCTAAATCCACACATGTGCCGTACGAAAAGGAACTCCCTGGCCCAGCTAAGTGATGACCTGTGTATGTTTTCTTTCTTGAATAAAGAATTATTTAACTTTATGTATTTTATTTATTTATTTTAATTTGACCAGAGAGGGACAGAGTGAGAGAGAGAGAAAGTGAGAAAGAAAGCCACCAGGTCCGGGACTTGAACCAGGGTCAGCCATGTGGGAGCCCAGCGCCTTAACCACTATGCCACCTGCTGGCCCCTGGAGAAGTTCTCTTTCTAAAACCTGCCTCCTAAAAGGGATGAGTCCAATACTTGGCTCAGAAACTTCTAGATTTCACTGGTAAGCAGGGAAAGAAACAATATCCCCAAGACAGAAAGCTAGAACCCATGAGCTACAAGACAGCACTGTCCTGCGAATGTGAATGAAACCCAAGGGTGGATCCCTCTCCAGGCCAAAGGCTCCAGTGGTCCCTGAAACTAAGGCCCTGCCCACCTGAGTGGCAGGGACTGTGAAAACAGTAATTTCCAGAGAATCTGGAGCACACAGGGCCTCCTGAGCACAACGTGGTTCTCAGAGTAGAGAATTAGAGTTTCAGCCTGCCGAGTTTGGTTTCAAAGGGAAATCAACCTATGAGAACAGAAAATGGGCAAGTGTCATTTCTGGAGGCCTTTGCAAAGCACTGGAGACGAATCCAGACCAGAAATTATGAAAAAGTCCAGTTCTCATGGACGGTCCTCATGGGTTAGGCTGGAGGAGAGCCAGGAAACAAAGGGCAAGGACAGCCAGGCCTCTCTCCAGATGGGGAACGTAAACACGGGAGCCCCCGGGACTGTGCTGCCCCTCTTTCCTCGTAAGTGACTCAGGATGGGAAGTAGGTGGGGAGTAGCTCCCCTGCGTGGGGGCGTGTGGCTGACAGGCTGCACCCGGGGGGGCCGAGGCCATGGGAGGCTCTGCAGGCCACACAGGCGAAGCCAGAGCACACGGTGAAAATCTGCCATTGGTCATGCAAGTCTGGTGCGGAAGGACGAGGGGAGGAGCAGGAAGGAATGCCCACGGGGGAGAAGAGTCCAGAAGAAACCCACAGAAGCTCTTCACCTGAGTAAGGAACGCGGGAGTCATGGCTGGCTGCTTGGGCAATGTGTTCTGAATTATTTGCTTAATTTTATTATTATTATTTTTTAATTTGACCACAGAGAGAGAAAGGGAAAGTGAGAAAGCAAACCACCAGGTCTAGGACTTGAACTACAGGTGGCCATGTGGAAGTCCAGCACCCCAACCACTCTGTCATCTGGTAGCCCCAAGGCAAAGCGTTCTTTAAAAGGTAAGTTTTACATCATAGAAAGAAAAAAAAAAAACAGACAGGGACAAGAGGTTTTGGTGAAGCAGAGGAAATTCAGGAGTGAGAAGCTCCTTGTCCCCCCAGGAAGTGGGGAAGCGGCCCTCTGATGGTGAGGGGCCCATGAGGTCAAGGACGGGAGCAAACACCTGGTGACAAACCTGCAGCCCCATGGAGCCCTGAGGCCGTTACTCCAAGTCCAAAGCTCCCCTGAAAGTGCCCCATGAGCCCCGAGCCTCACCTGCTGCTGGCTCTGCTCCTCCAGGTTCATCTTCACCTCCAGCGACTGGCGGGCCTCCAGGAAGGCCTTGCGGTGCTTGCGGTCCGCCATGTAGTAGGACATGACGCCCACGATGATGGCACACAGGTACAGGAAGACGTTGGCCAGGATCTGCGCCCCAGGCGGGGAAAGGAGAAAACGACATGGTGAAGATGGGCAGGCAGAGGCCACAGCAACCCCCAAGTTGCCGGGTGTCCAGGAAGGGCCCCGGGAGAGCCTTAGCCCTCAGTCAGATACAAGCCTGGAGTGGATCCTCCAGGGGTGAGGCCCATCCAAGGGCATGGCTTGAGGCCTGAAAGGTTTAGGGGTTCCAGGAGGCTCAGGCATAGGCCTGTGAGGCCGGCTGAGGGGCCGCTGCTCTCTGTCCTTCCTGCTCCACACAAGACCAGACCATCCTCTCTCCTCTGAGGCCTGGGCAGCCCCTCAGCTACGCCCTCACTCATTCACTGATTTGTTCTGACAACACCTACTGAGTGCGCGCATATTAGGTGCTCTCAGGTGCCGTGCTGATTAGCTGGGGAGAGGGTGTACCAATCCCAAGTCCCACCAGCTGGAGCGTGTAATCCTAAAAGCACATATAATTGGAGATGTCCCAGGAGACCTCAGAGGTCCTGGGCCATTCAGTCACAACTCTCCCTTCCACCCTGACCCGTGTGCTGCAGGTTTATAATTCCTGGGCGTCATGTGCAGCTCCTCAGCCAATGGTCTCAGGAACCACAGAAGCTACTGGAAGACTGTGGACCGGACATCCACCCCGCTGCCTGCAAGCACACAGTGCCCACGTCCTGAGGGCTTCCTGGGCAATCCAGAGCCTGTTCCTGTGCCCGGCACCCTGCAGTCTTCCTGCAGTGTCCAGACCCCAACCCACTCCACAGGCTGCTGGAACTGCAGGCCCAATAGCCTCCTGCCAGAGGCAACCTTGGGCATGGACCACGCCTGGCTTCCTGGCTCTGGGGCTCCATCTCTGCCCTGACTGGGCCTCATCCTGGCGGGGCCAGGCACTAATTCCTTCCATTCTCCAAGACACTATCCAAGGCCAATCTTCTTGGCACAAGGCTTGTTTCCCGGCCCAGCTCCTCCATGTCCCCGGTGCCAGCTCCACGCCCTCCCGTGAGGCTGTGGCCACTCTCAGGTTCTGGCTCCCTGAGGCCTTGCCCAGGGGCTAACACATGCCAGCCCTCTCGCTGGGTGTGGTTTCTTAGAGCTGTGGAATGGGGTGGAAAAGGAAGCCGAAGAATGTGTTCAGTTCTGGCCCTAGGAGGAGACAAGGTTGGCCCGGGAGGGTACAAGGAATCCTGGCGCAGATGAAAACTGCGGGAAGTCCAGTCCGGTTTAGATTTTAAACAAGCTGGCATGGCGGCGGTCCTTCCCATTCTGGGAAGTAAGATGGCAGTTCTGACGCTAACTTTCTGCTTTTCATGGCTGCGCCCCTTCTGAACCTGTTGTGTTTCATCAGGGCTGATCGGTACTCCTCACCCTGCAGACCCTGCCCCCCACACCCTACAAACCGTTCCTGAAGCGACAGTCCTGCTCCCCAGTGCAGGGGGAGGGCCCACTGATCGAGGACGAACTGGGACGCCAGGTGTGCTCGTCGCTGGTCAGCACGTCCCTGGCTGTACGGTCTGAGCCCCGTGTGTGGCTGGTTTCAGCACCTAATGCCCTCTTGGCCTGGGCAGTGCCAGTTGTCCACCCCATCCATGGGAAAGTGAGTGATATTTGAAAAGAACCACTTTTTTCAAAAATAATTATTTTACCTAATTCTTCTTCTTATTATTATTATTATTTTAAATTTGACCTGAGAGAGACAGAAAGAGAGAGAAGGAAAGTGAGAAAGGAAGCCACCAACTGGGCAAAAATTTTGTTTTCTTTTGCTGGTTTTTCCTCTTCCTCTAATGAATGAGTGAATTTAATCTCCAGTTTTTCCAGCTCATGTTTCCTCCTCGAAATCTTCCTATTGATTTCCTAGGCCCTTCTCATTTAAACTTTAAGCAAAAACAAGTTAAAGAAAATAAGAGATAGAAATTCAAGTTAATTAATTTTGTTCCCATTCTGGGAAGTAAGATGGCAGTTCTGACGCTAACTTTCTGCTTTTCATGGCTGCGCCCCTTCTGAACCTGTTGTGTTTCATCAGGGCTGATCGGTACTCCTCACCCTGCAGACCCTGCCCCCCACACCCTACAAACCGTTCCTGAAGCGACAGTCCTGCTCCCCAGTGCAGGGGGAGGGCCCACTGATCGAGGACGAACTGGGACGCCAGGTGTGCTCGTCGCTGGTCAGCACGTCCCTGGCTGTACGGTCTGAGCCCCGTGTGTGGCTGGTTTCAGCACCTAATGCCCTCTTGGCCTGGGCAGTGCCAGTTGTCCACCCCATCCATGGGAAAGTGAGTGATATTTGAAAAGAACCACTTTTTTCAAAAATAATTATTTTACCTAATTCTTCTTCTTATTATTATTATTATTTTAAATTTGACCTGAGAGAGACAGAAAGAGAGAGAAGGAAAGTGAGAAAGGAAGCCACCAGGTCCGGGACTTGAAGCACAGTCAGCCATATAGGATTCCAGTGCCTTAACCGCCACACCACCAGCTGGGCCCAGGAAGCGGGTGATTTTGAGGGCCTCTGGATCGTACCTTGCACCTTCTGCTGGGGCACCATAACTCCCCCACCTGAGTGGTCCATATCAGATGGCCTCAGGCCACTTAGTAACCCTCACTGGGCATCCTCAGCCACCCAGGCGCCTCCTTCCCCATCTGACCCGCGGCTCGTGTGTGGCTCCATGAGGGCAGCTGCAGGGACACGGCTGACGATGACTGCAGGGACAAGGTCAACTGCTGCCTCTGTACCTGCTGGAGTGCCACGTGGGTTTCAGGTCCCACCCACAGAGGGAGCACTTTCCCTGACTCCCAACAAATGCATCTGTTTCTAGACAATTCTCCTGGAGTTGCAGGCCTGGGAGTTCTTGGAACACCCCCAGGTCTCTCGGCTGGCCTCAGCTGAGGGGGGCCCACAGGGACCTGCTGTGGGCTGTTAGCCCCAAGGTCCCCTTCCTCGCAGAGGGAGCTCAGCACGCCCAGCCCAGCTAGAGTGGTGGAGGCTCACCAAGGCCCTATTGCCAACCCCAGCCTCCAAGCCCAGGGCACAAGTCCAGCAGGAGCTGCCAAGCCAAGGAGGCCTGGGCAGGAAGTGGGCATCCACCAGGGGAGGGAGCTTGAGCGAGCAGGAGCTGCACCCATAACACGGTCCCCTGTGTGTGTGTGCAGCAAGTGGGTGACGCTGTGTGTAGCAGGGCTGGGGCCCCCTTTCCTGGCCTCAGTTTCCTTGCCTGCGACATCACCCCAGTGCCACCACACTGTGTCCTAGACACGGTGCATCTCATTCAATGTGTCCACCGCTGCCGAGGTAGGGGACTGGATCCAAGCTGTACAGGAGAACTGAGGTTAAATGAGGTCTCAAAGCTAGAATCATGGGACCAGCAGATGGTGTGGCAGTTACGTTGCTGGGCTCCCACATGGCTGACCATGATTCAGATCCCAGACCCAGTGGCTTGAAAATCACTCCAGGCACATCTGTGCACGCTCAAGATCCTAGGAAGAGAATGGAGAAGGGATTGTGGCCAACGTCCCTGAGGGGGGTGATTTCTCACTTTCCTTCTATCTCCGTTTCACCCCTTCCCCCCTCGTAAAAACAAAACAAAACCAACAACAACAACAACAAAAAACTAGAGATTATTCCTGCGCTCCTATCTTATTGTTCTGTGGTTCAAAGCCAGATCTCAAAAGCATTCCTGGGTTTATTTATATATATGGAATCTCACCTTTCCCCAGAAACAATGCTAAACATTTTAAAAACTAAAATGAAGACTAGCATAGGAATACCAGCCTCGGTCACACACGGTTTTGATTGAACAAGTGAACAAGCACGCCTGCAGTCTCCACTTCTCTGTGCACAGTGTGGGCATCCTCTCTCCCTCTCGGACTCCGCTGCTCCCATTTGCTAATGCGTATCTCACTTAGTAATGTCAATGTGCCCCCTCAAACACGTGTTTGTAAAAAGTGGGGTTGGCTCCTTCTGCAGTGAGCCAAGCACTGCACGGGCGTGGGGGACCTCGGTGATAGGGATGACAGTGACTGGGGCCCCTCTCCGCAGGAGCTGGGAGAAGGCCTGGGGCCAGGCAGGTGCAGCTGT